AGAGAGAGAGAGAGAGAGAGAGAGAGAGAGAGAGAGAGAGAGAGAGAGAGAGAGAGAGAGAGAGAGAGAGAGAGATTGTTCTTAACAGATGATCCGTGTTTTGCAGGGGGCAGAAGTCTCTGTGAAAGAGCTTGATGCATTGCTGGGGCTGCTGGCGGAGAAGAAGAGGAAGGCAGAGCAAGAAGAAGCTGAGGCAAATATGGAAATTTTGCTAGAGTTCCTTCAGCACTCGAAGCAGCAGAAGCTGGCTAAGTTGAATGAGGTGTGAGCCTCTGGTTTCACTGTCATTTTTCTCTGTGTCATTGCTCTTGATCAGCATGCACCATACATACGGAGCACCTATGCAGTGCGCCGTGTGCGCATGGGCGATGCGTGCTCACGTGTGCACTGCAGCACACTGCGCGGTGGGTTGCGCTGAAGTGCGCGTGAGTATCCCCCATGGGCGTGCACATGTGGATGGGGTGTTTTCTTTTCCTTTCCCTTTGTGTGTGTGTGTGTGTGTGTGTGTCTGTGTGTGTGTGCAGTGTGGCCCAGTTGAGAAACCCGCGTACAACACAAGAAACAAAGAAAAATTCAACAAAAAAAATTCATTGCCCCACATGCGCACAGTATTCTGATGAGGTTAAAAGGCCGCCAGCAATGGACAGCTTCTGAGAAATAGCCCGTGCCATTGGTTCATTATTTCGTTTCTTTTTTTCTTGGAAGGGCAACTGGAGAATCTGGCAGCCACACATGGACGAATCTGACCGCAATCATGTCCAGAGCGTCGCCGAAAAAGACCTGGTGGGAGCGCGCCAGTGGAGGACACAACAGGCCTCACTCCACTGCGCACAACTTGCAGAAAAGACAAAAAGATATGGCTGTGTAACTTCCCATGTCCTAGGGGAAAATTCATTATTTAGTTTGCAGATTTCGTGAGTGGTGGAGCTATATATGCCCAATGGCCAGTTTCTGTGATCAGAGAGCGTAGAGAGTCTGGCAATGAGGGCCTCGTTCAACTACTCACCACGTGCACAAAAGACAAAGAAAATGGCTGCGTATCTTCCCATGTTCTAGGGGAAGATTCATTGCGAATTTGCACATGTTGTGACTAGTGGAGCGAGGCCCAACCGCCAGTTTCCGGGATCAGAGAGCATCTAGACAACGCCCTTACTCTTAAGGGCCTCGGTCCACTACTCACCACATGCGCAAAGGCAACAAATATACTGCGTTCCATGTTCTAGCGGAAGCTTCATCCTCATTTTGCACATTTGCAAAATGAGAATTGGCGCAAGTAAAGAAGTGACGATTGCAGTCATGATGAGGGCACGTGGTCTAGTTTCCCTTTTCTTTCTTTTTGTTTTTGTCTCTGTAGATACTCCCGTGAAAAGAATCGGTTGGTGCAATTTCTCTTTAGGGCCTAGGCGCGGGGGCAAAAGAAATTTGTGCGAGGCCGTTTCTATTTTCTTTTGTGCAGGGCCGAGGGGGCCTACCATCCCCCACCCCTTTTTTTTGGGGGGGGAGGGAACCCTTATTTTTAACTGTGCGGTGCATGCTCTGCGCGTGTCACATGCGCAATGCGTCGTGTGGCGCCTGTGCTTGACCGGCGCGCACGTGATGCACCGCACCTATGACACACACTTCTTCGAGAGTGGACACACGCCTTTTGATGACAATCCTCCCACTGGACGTGATCACCACCTCTATGCTTGTCCAACAAAATAGAGGATGCATCCAAACCTTAGAAATCAAACTGTCTACGAACGGGCCTATCTCCGCTGGTACGCCCGTGAACTGTTGAAATACAGACGTGAGTTTGAATCCAGATGGAACCATGTGAACAATTTTTTTTTACTTTTTTTTCCTGAAAGGCAGAAAGAAAAAACAACAAACTGTCTCATTTAGAACTTAATTATCAAACATGGACTGTGTTTTGTTTCATGAACCTCAATTTCCTTAAAAAAACTCAATTTGTCATGCCATCTAGACTACAAATTAAGTTCATAATACGCCATATGAATTTAGAATTCTAGATGTTTCGAACGAAAGGCAACCAACCCTCAGGCGGCCAACATGACTAACCCCGCCCATGAGAATATATGATCATCAGCATTACCGTCTTCACCCGAATAGAACACCCGGTCATTATAGCTGCATTTGGCACAACTTTCAGTCCAGATGCAGCGATAATGAGCGGGCGTTTTATTCGCATGAAGACGGTAGTTCATAATGTGGGACACTTGGGTTTACTGATTGTTTTGATGACAATTCTATTCTTGTTTCATAATTCTGTAACCACTGCTAATCTGTTTTATATGGGGCTAATCATAGGTCATTTGACCTATGGGTATGTGTTCTCCTTTTTGTCAGTTCGGGACTGCACGCATGCTATTGCTGCATATCCGCCTCGATTGAATCTCCCAGTTGCCTAGGGGGTTTTGTAGTGTTTCAGCAAATGAATGTTCTTCTGAGTGAGCCTCATCGAACACTGCCAAAAGTATTCTCATGCATGCCTCCACACGTGGGTATCACTTCTCTTTCGCAGTCGACCGATCTGTTTGTGTTGTGTGTGGATTCTGTATGATCATTGCATAGACAAATTGTTCTCTAGACTTCTTATCAAGACAAAATAAGGTCGTCGTAACACTGTTGTATATAACGTGCGTGTTTTCAGTAATCTAAGAGAGCTCGTGTCTCTCTCTGGATTTCAAAAGAATTGATAACGATTGTTAGCTATTTTTGCAGTCATTTCTTGGAGTGTGTTTTTGATCGAGAGCTTATTATTGATGCTGGATTTTGTGTGAGCATGGTGCTCTCTCTGTTGTTATGCCATTACGTAATGTTGAGTTGAATTGAATTGAATTGATCACATTGTGAGTAGTACTTATTTCATAGTGTTGTGGACGACGGAAGACGATAAGCTTTGGCATGGCCAAGGGTGTGAACTTGACTCATAATACCACCCGCAGCTTATACAACAATGCAATGTACGACTGCTTTTGTGTGCAGTTGCAAGAGGAGTTGGTCTTTCTGAAGAATGATATCAGCTTGGTGGAGAGAAAGCGACAAGAGCTGCAGAAACTCCGGGACAGATCTACAGTGAGAATGAGGCTTGCTGCCGAAGCCGGGCGCGCAGCACAAGATCCCCTTTCAGGCTCAAAGCCAGGCGGCGCTTCACCTGTCGGGCCGAGCAGGGGCGGTCAGGGAGGAGCTGCAGGAGGTCAAATGAAGAAAGGAAAGCTGGAGAGCGGGGTTGAAGGTGGTATGGCTATGGTGGGGATCAACCATGGTAGTTTAGCAAGGGCAGGGGACGCCATGCATCACCCTGGGGTTGTGACAGATGTCCCTTTGACTATGACAGAACCGGCGGGGGTTCCATCAGCTGCGGTGGCCAATATCGCAAAGAAGAAGCGAGTGTTTGAGCAGGTTGGTTTGCTTTGTATGACGGTACCGAACTTTCGGTGACGGAACGCGAAACATCCATTGCAAACTGGTCAAACGCAAAGGGGCCCCCTTCGAGGGCCTGGCTTTCTCATGCCGGGGGGAGGCTTGGGGGTGTTATATCATTATCTTTCTTGGCTTTTCTGTCACTCGTGAGGCTGTTGATAGAATGTGGCACTGTGCTTTGCTTTGTAAGCGCAAGCGCTTCAGTCTGCGTGCTCCCAGGAAGGCTGGTTGTACAAATGACTAGGGTGTGTGATCTGCTCCTGGACAACCAGTCAGCCATGAGCATTCTGACAATGGTATTCATACAAAACAATGCACATCTGCACTTGGCTGTTGTGAAGAGAACCAGCTAGGATGAATTTGGTTGCTCCATTGAGCTGCTTTACCCCTGGGAGTGAGGTGCAGGCTCTGCTGATTGCTATGTTCGTGCTTGAAAGGCATGAACCTGGCTGTAATAGTTTAAGTTCTTGCTTTCATAGCATGAACGTAGCACTAGTCGGGGCTGGCTCTCATCCCTGACCACAGTATACCCTAACATTCTTGCGCCTGATTATTCAATTAACGGAGACCCTGAAAACTACTTTGAGGGCGGAATCTTATTATGGTTTTAAACCGCTAGTACATGGCCCCAGCCTTGCAGAAAGCTTTTGTCGCCACAAGCAAAACTCGGAGGCGTCGCACCGCCAGGGACATCGTTAAAAAAAAAAATTGGCGGCCGCCGAAGTGATGCGGGTTTCATGCTGACACCCGAGGGCCTATGTGTGGTGTACTGGTGGTTTAAGGCCAGAAAGGATGACACCGGCTTCGAAGCGGATCAGTGTTCTTCGCTCCAGCAGTCAATACCAACAATCTTACTTTCGACAATGTGCATCGTTGCCGATCGGCAAGCACGTGCTCATGTCTCAGAATTACTTTTGTTATGGAGAACTCGTATGTCTGATGAACTTCTCTTCATTGTTGACTCGATGCAGGTGAGTGTCTTCTTGCGATTTCAACCCCTGCATCCAGCTGCTGAAGACATCGTCGTTCATTTGTCGTTCGGAGACGACGTTGAGGCTAATTCTTGCCTTCTTTTTTTTTTTTTTTTTTTTTTGTGTAACCCCCCTCAGAAGAACCCCTTCCACCCTTCCTCTGATCAATTACCCGGCGCACCCCCAACCCCTCTGCCCTACCTTAGTGTGGACCACCCATGCTTTTTGTTTTCTTGTTACCGGGGGTCTGCTCAGCTCGGGGCCAAAATTCAGCGAGGGTCTCATCGTACTTTCTTGTTGGCCTGTGCAGTTCGAGGATTTGCAGGAAGCTTACATCCAGAAGAAGCGGAAAATGAAACACGTAGTCTCCCAAAGAGGAACTGTGGGCTCAGAAGCGCATTGCCAAGATGATGGGTGGAATGGACTAGACGAATTTCAGAATGTCCTAAATGGCTTCACACGGTACAGGTAGGAATCCCCTGCCGAAGCACACCTATTATATATATGCCCACAGGGGCTGCAACTCAGCTCTCCTCGCAGCATCTTTGAATTGCTCACTCATGTTCGCCCGTCTTGGAAAATTGGGTGGTGGTTATGAGGAGATCAGTTTAATATTTCTTGTTTTGTGCTAACGCTTGTGGGACTGATCAGGGCCAGCAACATCTCTACTCCCAGCACCTCTGAATTCCTTACATTTGCCGATTGTGGAAAATTGGATAGTTGTTGCGAGGAGATCGGCTTCATGTTTTTTTTTTTTTTTGTCAACATTTGTGTTAAAGCTTGCGGGACTGATCAGGGCTGGACCTTGTCTGTGTAATTGGGGATGCGGTGACCAGGACCATGTTGCAATCATTTTCATAAGAGCATGGGGTTGTCCCTGTGGACCCAGGCCTGCCTTTGCGTACTGGGTATGTGCTTGCCTCGAAAGAAAGAAAAGAAAAAAAATACAGAAATCTCCTCCACTGTGTCTGCATACATCGAGGGTTGATTCGAGTAGGCTTGCCTGAGCATAATTTTGTGATGGAGTGTGCGCGTACCTCATTTCGATATTGTCTCAGAGGGCGTGGTCTATGAGGCCCCCCTCAAAAAGAAATATCGTGCGGCAGGCATGTCTTTTTTTTTCCCCGGACGGGGCTGGGAGCGAGCAACTGGTACTGCCTGTGTGGGAATTTTTCATACATGGCCAGGAGCTCTGGTGATGCATCATGTCCATGGTGTGCTGTGGGAAGGAGTGTGGGGGAGGGCTGTGCAATTGGTGTGCAAACAAAGCTGCAAAACACAGGCTGCTTGCTGACCTGGAGTGTCATGGCCATGTTAGTTTGCTTTCTCGGTGTTAAGCATGGATGCACAAGTGATCCAGCACCAGCAAGTGTGTAAATTTTTGGGAAATGAATGAAGCGGTTCTGCTTATGGTAGTCTTATGTTTTCCCTCTTTAATTGAATGTGTCGGTCGACTCATAATGGTCACTCATTGTCGACCATGTGGTCTTTCCATTTTCAATTGTCGCTCTGATTTGCCCAACAAGCAATCAACAGTGGCGGATAGAAGAGCCCCACTGCAAAGGTGTTTTCCAACTTTTCCACATTTTTCTCTCCGTTTCGAATTTTGAATTTTCTGACGTCCAGTGGCAGTGAAATGACCTCACAACCTAGGCTACCAGAGTGGCCCGGGACCACTTGCCCAGCTGGGCCCAAAAAAAAAAAAAAAAAAAACTATTTTCCAATTTTTAAAATTTGGTAACAGGCAGATATCCCGGGCACCCGGGTCCCGAAGTCATGCCCGGTTTGGCGACCGGGTGACCGGCCGGGCATGACCCCAGGCAGCCCCAGCGCAAAAAAAATAAAGAAAGAAAGAACAACAAATCCAAAAAAATCTGAAAAAAAAATTATGTCCTGTAGAATTGCAATACAAACAACTTTTGGCCGAGGGTCACATCAGAATTCCTCACGAACTAGAGATAAAAATAAAATAACCAAATCACACTAAGGCACCCCCCTTTAAACCCCTTCAGCCCCTTTAAAATTCATTTATACTACCCTTCCCCCCCCTTGATAGCCAACACTCAAAAAAGGAAAAAAAACACCGCCATTTTTTTTTTTTTTTTTTTGCCATGTTGGTATCCCGGGCGTCACCCCCGGGTGACCGGCCGGTCATGAAAATCTTCCTAGTTTGGTAAAGAATTTGGTAAAGAATTTCGATGCGACCCTGAGGCAAAAGTTGTTCACTTTATTTTTTTCGATTTAGTTTTTTTTCAGATTTATCATTTTTTCGATTTATTTTATTTTTTATTTTTTGCTGGTACCTACTTTGGCCCTTGCACGGCCGGGCCGCCCGGGCAAACAAGTTCACCCAGGCGGCCTGGCTGGTAGCCTAGCTCACAACACATTATTCATGCAGTGCCTATTTCTTATATTATCGTTCATTCTTTATCTAATCCTACCCTTTAATCAAGTTTAACGAGTCTTTATACTGGGTTAGGCCGGCGCCAGGTCCAGACGGACCGGGGGGGTCTGTCCGCCACCAGACGAGCCAAAAAATGTCCCAGGATTCTTTTTCTTTTTTTTTTTTGAAGGTGGGGTTGGACTGCGCTCGCTAAGAGGAGCCCAAATCTGCAGAGAAACTTGTGAAAGGCATGTGTGTTCGGGGGCCGGAGAGTTTGAGAGGAGGGGGGTGGGGGGTTGGTTTGACAAGGGGGTAAAAGGGTGTGTTCACTGTGCAGCAGCCAGTCCGCTGAGAGAGGGGGGAGAGGAGGAGGAGGGGGAAGAAGAAGAAGGAGAAGAAGAAGAAGAAAAACCAAACAAAGGACGATGAGAAGCAGACTGATAAAAAGCAGGCTGATGACCACTCCCGGAAACAAAGTCATATGGCGGGAGATTTGAGTATCAAAGTGTCTCCCTCCCTCTCTCTCTCTCTCACATACACACACACACACACACACACACACAGAGCGAGGAACAGTGAGGGGTCTTTGGAGGTCTCTGTCGATGCAGGTGTAGTGGAGGTGCTTGCAACATTCCTTTTTCCTTTTTCTGCTGCCTTTTTGTCTCTCGTCCTTCCAGACCCGCCACTCCCCCTGCCGCTGCCGCTGCCACCACCCGCCGTTGAAGTAGAGGATGCAAGGACCAACTGCGAGGGACAAAGGAAAGTAAAAATATTGGAAGAAGAAGAAGAAGAAGAAGAAAAAGAAGTCTGTGCGGTTGTGAATGGCACTGCTTTCTGCCCACTTATGTTCTTTTTTTTGGGCAGGGAAAAAATAAATAAAATGAACGGGAGATAGTGGGTGGTACAATATGCCTGGCGGATGTGCCAGATGGTGGGCGGTAAGATATGGAGGGGAAGGACGAGGAGGAGGAGGAGGAGGAGGATGGCGAGGGAAGAAGAAGACGAAAGGAGGAGGAAGACCAAGAGGAGGGAAGGAGGAGGAGAGGAAAGGAGCAGGAGAAAAAAGATGGAGACTTGAAAAACGAAGGGGGAGGAGGAGAGAGGAATGAAGGGGGAGGAGGAGAGAAGGTCAAGACAAAAGGAGGACGAGGAGGAGAGAAGAAGAAGATGAGAGGAGGAGGACCTGCCGGTAGTGTATGGGAATGATGGAAGAAAAAAAGAAAAAAAGGACGATGAAGGATGAGTAGGAAGAGGAGGAAAGAAGGAGAAGACGAAAGTAGGTGGAGGAGGAGGAGGAGAGGAGGAGAAAAAAAGAGGAGGAGGGGGAGGAGGAGAGAAGGACGACAAAAAAAGGATGATGAAGGACGAGGAGAAGAGGAGGAGAAAAGGAGAAGACGAAAGTAGGTGGAGGAGGAGGAGGAGGAGAGGAGGAGAAGAAAAGAGGAGGGGGAGGAGGAGAGAAGGACAAGACGAAAGGAGGAGGAGAAAGGAGGAGGAGAAAGGAGGATGAGGAGGTGAGAGGAACGAAGGGGGAGGAGAGAAAGGACAAGACGAAAGGAGGAGGAGGAGAAGAAGACGAGAGTAGGAAGAGGAGGGGAGGAAGGAGGAGGAGAGGAAAGGAGGAGGAGAAAGAAGCAGCAGACTTGAAAAAAAAGACGAGAGTAGGAGGAGAGAAGAACAAGGAGGAGGAGGAGGAGCTGCCAGTTGTGTATGGCGATGATGAGAAACAGAAAAATGGCCGATGGAGGAGGAGGAGGAGGAGGAGAGAAAAGAAGAAGACGAAATGATGAGGAGGAGGAGGAGAAAAGAAGAAGAAGACGAGAGGAGGAGGAGAGAAGAGAAGATGAAATGAGGAGGAAGAGGAGGAGAGGAGAAGAAGAAGACAAGAGGAGGAGGAGGAGCTGCCGGTTGTGTGTGGCGATGACGACGAAAAAAAAAAAAGGCCGATGGAGGAGGAGGAGAGAAAAGAAGAAATGAGGTTGAGGAGAGAAGAAGAAGAGAGGAGGAGGAGGAGGAGGAGGAGAGAAAATAAGGAGACGAAATGAGGAGGAGAGAAGAAGAAGACGAGAGGAGGAGGAGAGAAGAAGAAGAAGAAGAAGACGAGGGGAGAGGAGGAGGAGGAGGAGAGAAGAAGAAGAAGAAGACGACGAGAGGAGAGGAGGAGGAGGAGGAAGAAAGAAGAAGACGAAATGAGGAGGACAAGAGAAGAAGAAGAAGATGAGAGGAGGAGGGGGAGAGAAGAAGAAGAAGACGAGAGGAGGAGGAGGAGGAGAGAAAAGAAGACGAAATGAGGAGGAAGAGTGAAGAAGAAGACGAAATGAGGAGGAAGAGTGAAGAAGAAGATGAAATGAGGAGGAAGAGTGAAGAAGAAGGAGACGAGGAGGAGGAGGTCGGCTGCGCTCGAGGAGGAGGAGGAGGTCGGCAGCTTGATGATGGGCAGGTCGATGGCGACGTGGTGGCTCGACGACGGGCAGCGCGATGGGAGCTCCGCGCGAAGAGGAGGAGGAGGTCGGCTACACGCGGAGGGCATCTGGATGACGAAGGGGCAGGGGCAGCTCGAAATCGACATGCGACGGGCAGGTTGATGGCGACGGGCAGGTCGATGATGACGGCGGGGCTTCAAAGTTTGTGTGCGGGGAGGACAATCCCCCGGTCGAATTCGAATGCAGGATCATAGCCTGCCAGGGGGGATGGGACAAGGCCTTTTTCGGCGACTGATCCCAGCCACCGATCTTTGCAGATAGGTGGATGGGATCAGTCACCGAAAAAGGCCTGCCCCTCCCTCCTAGGAAGTCCAATTTTTTTTTTTTTCAAGCACTAGGCGGCTGGGGAGGCGGCCACTGGCCAAAAAAGGCCTTTCTTCCCCCCCCGGCGCGCGAAATTGCGCTGGGCCCACCCGTCGCCCAACTGGGGGACCCAACTGGCCGGACTGCCCGGGAGCCCTACCGGACGAAGGCTGGCCCGTCGGGCAGTCCGGATTTTAACACAGTCTTTATATGGTAATGCCTGCTATTATAGATGGGTTTGGAAACTGGTCTGTTGAACTTTTTTCCTTTGTTTTTGTTGTTGTTTCTGAAGCAATATCCTGGGCTCTATTTTCATTTTTTGAAGCAGTGGGAGCAGGAACAGTGGGCTGTTGAGTAAATGAAATGCTCAACAGGCCCAAGAGAACTTGGGTTCGAGTCGAAGTGGTTGTGCATTGTCGGGGCTTTTTTTTGCTGAGGTCCATTTTGCCCGTGGTTTTTTTTTTTCTTTTCACGGGGGACAAGCTGTATTTTACTACCCTTTTTTCTTCTGTCCAGATTGTGTCCACCTTACACTACCTACCTACCTGCACTACATTATCCACTCGCGTATGTTATATGGGGACTTACCTTTGTTGTTGTACTAGTCTGACCACAAGCCCGTCCCTATTTGAGAGCCAGCACTACGTTAATCTACTGACGGAAAGCAAGCTATTCTATAAAGGTTATGGGTTGCCCACTATTTACCTTTGGGACACTTTCCTCCTCGGTCTATCCAGTCTACCTTTTGAGTTTCGGCAAGTTTGTTAAATGTCCTTTTGTTGTTGCCGCTGGATTGGTTGATGGATGGTTGCAGCCGTTTACGAGTGATTGCTGAGCTCAGGCAAGGCGATCTCTTCCACTCGTCGAACATAGTGTCCAGGTAAGCAGTTACACATGTGCCAGATGCCGTTGCATGACTCAGTTGTACACTGAATATTTATCTGAATCCAAACTCAGATCCAGAACCAGAGTTAACTAAAGCGACCTAGCTTTCCAATCCGGGCACACGGGTTACCCCATGGCGCCCGAAATGACGCTCGGGGCGCTCGGCCGGGTGACCCCCCCAGCGGCAAGGGCAAACGAGCCTTAAAAAAAAAACATTGCGTCGCCGTTGGTTGGCCCGGAGGCGAAACAAAAATTTGGCAGTCCCTCTTTTTTTTTTCCTGGCCGGTAAGGCCACATTTCACTCTTTTTTTTTTTTGCAATATGTGCCGTTGATCGTCCCAGATCGATGGTGCAGGGAAGCTCCAGGTTTCAAATTCGAAACCTGGCAACCCCGTGCAAGCCTGTGGTCCGCCCTGCCAGGCGTGCCCTGCCCGCCCTGCGAGATCGCAAGTGGCAGTCGTCATCATACTGCAGTCGCCATCTTCACCTTTGCTGTGTAACCTCCTCCGCATGCCATCGTCACCTCTGCTGCGCCACTGTCACCTCCGCCATTGGAGACTGTTGTGCCACGCACGAACAGCGCGAAGGCCAACTTGTTTTTCCTTCTATTGTTCTTCTTTAGTCTTTCTTCTTCTTCTTATTCTCCTTTCTCTTCGTCTTCATTTCTAGTTACTTTCTACTTCTTAGTAGTCTCTGTTTCTCTTCTCAAGTTCCTGTTCTTTTTCTTTGTTTCATCTTGTTGTTCCTCTCCTTCTTCTTGTTCTTCAGCGTTGGCATCTACAGTGTAAACTTTTTTTTTTTTTTTTTGGTAGCCCGCTGCTAGTCGCATAGCGCACTTACTCTCTGCACTCATTCGCCTCCTCCCTCCTTTCATCTCCATCGCCGCCCTCCTCCCTGTCTCCCGATCGTTTCTCTCCTCCCCCCCCATCCATCGCTTCCTCCTCCCTCCTCCACCATACCGTGCCTCCTCCCTCCTCCACCATACCGTGCCTCCTCCCTCCTCCCTCCCTCTCCATCGCCTCCTTCCTCCATACTCCGCCATACCTTGCCTCCTCCCTCCTCCCTCCTGCTTCCATCTCCATCTCCATCGCCTCCCTCCTCCCTCTCTCTCCATCG